AGATAGATAGATAGATAGATAGATAGATAGATAGATAGATAGATAGATAGATAGATAGATAGATATGAAAATGTAATGAACTTAAGCCCAATCAACCAGAGCAACAGCAGGGTGGGAAAAACCAAACTGCATTTACTGCAGAGAATTGTAATCTGTGGCTGGCTAGGGACAGCAGGGAATTAATAGAAAAAGTTAAATTTCTGAGAATACACGATTCCCGCGGTGATATAATGAGGACTTCGTATATAGCAAGAAGGAAAAACAGTTGCTTTCCAGATACAGCTCTGTCCCTGGAGCTAGAATCTTCCCTTCCCTCGAAGACGTCTTTCTGAGGCCCCCATCTTCTTGTCGCAGATAAGTTTACCCTTTAAGGGAGATGACAAAAGGACACCCGCTTCGTTTTTGCGAAACCTATCAATCTGGGGCGTTGTTTTGCCAGAGAAGCTTTTCCGAAGATTAAAACAAAGCCAGGCCAAGCCAATTGACCCACAATATCAAATTAGATGATAAGGTCATGGGGGAGAATGGGATTGCTGGCTTGTGTGTATGTGTCTGTTTAGTAGCAGAAAATAAGTCCAAATTACAGTAGTGGTTTATCCATCCTTGGATGAACTGCTGGAGAAAACTGGCACAGAGCAGAAATAAATTTGAAGTCAGCAACTCCCCTGTGATTTGACCGCATAGGATGGGGGTAGGCAACAGAGGACACCTGGTGTACCCCCAACTCAGCAGCAAGTGGCCGGTTTTCAGCAGTACAATTTTTAGCTGCCTTTGGATGGAAAATAAGGGCTAGATTTAATACATTAAACTTCAGCTAGACTTCGTGCCTCCATAATTCTTCCCTTGCCCTTTCTCCCCAACTCTTTTAAAAAGCAAGAGCTGATCCTTTTGGTTGTGCTACCTGCAGAAGTGAAAAGTTTTTTCTCCGGAGTAAAGGCGTGTGTCCTAAGCTCAGAGGAGGTTGAACCCCCAACCGTTGTCCTTCTGCACACGTTGGTAGACAACATGCTCTTCTTTAGACTGTTCTGAAGCAAAGGTGTACTGAGTATTCATCAGTCCACTACACATACCTCCTGGTTGGTGGGACCTAGGCAAAGCTTGTAGGTCTCCTAATGAGAAATCCTAGCTTGCAGTGACTGTCTCTGGGAAAAGTGGAGTTTGGTTGTGTTCTTCTTGGAACAGCATTAAAAAACAACGAAAGGCTTTAAATGGATATACACTGGAGATTCAGGATCCTTCCACAAGTCCAGAATGGGTAATGCTTAGATAACATGCATCTTCATGGCTTAGCATTTTGGAAAACATCACTCCTTTGGTGAATGATGGTGGTTCAGTGCATCGTGCAAACCCAGACCATGAACTCCTTCAGTAACCAGACTGGGCATGTTGTGTGAATACAACTGAAGCCTGTGTTTGTGTGGGTCAGGTTCTTGGCAGCTGATTCAACCAAAAGGAAGTCTCCCAAGCAAGATTCTCAGCCCATTTTCCTTATGGTTTCCCAAGGTGAAAGAGTTAAGCTTGCAGAAATTTCAGCAACTGGGCTAATTCCAGCTTAGAACCACTTCATCCCTGGATATATTCAAGGGGAGACTTTCTTCATTTCTTTGCAACCATTTTCTTCTGGACCAGCAAGGAGGCCGTTCTTTTCACAAGACTGTCTCCAGAATCCTTACCAGTCTGTGAATCAGCAGTTACACTAACATTTCATGTATGCCCACACCACACACGTAGGTTGCACGCTTGAGTTTTCCTTCCAGGATGGCTTACATGCCATTGCAGGTAAGAAAGGTTGTGTGTTCACGGCACCTCCCTCTGCATGAAGAGCTAGCAATGGAGGCGTGGATTTTCATGTATATTATATCACTCTGAATGTAGGTGCCACTTTTAAAAACAAAAATCCATGCCAAAAAATTCCTGACGATGGAATTGTACGCATTGAAGTTGATTTTAAGTCATGTCAGATGCAAGCAGAATCAAATGATGTTGATGTTTCTCCTGGTCTCACTTACTCTGGTTATCCTTGAGGCTGCGTGCCTACTGCCAGGAAAAACTTACACACACCTCCGTCTTACGACTTTAAAATATTCTGCTTTGCTTTTTTGCTTTGCTTTTTCTTTTCTTTTCTTTTTTCTTTTTGGTTTGTTTGTTTTCCAAGCACACGTTGGCTCTCTCCAGTTTCCACGCCAACGTGCACGGCTTTATAAAAAGCCTGCACACTCAACATCATGTGTGTCTCTGCTCACAGTTTCCCATAATGTAAGCAATTTTCCTGAATGTGTGCTTTGTTGTATGCTGTTTTCCTAGCGGAGATATTTCCATACACAAAGCAGTCCTAGGAGTGCTAATTGTTTAGAAAAGCAGAGTGAAATTCAGCGTGTGTGAAAAGCGAAGGAAAATTCCATGGCAGGTTCCATATTGGATGGCAAAGGATGAATTAAGCCAGCATGTATGAAAACATAAACCAAACCATTTTTTCTTCTTCTCTGGGTCTATACAACACAGTTTCTTGTGGGCAGCTGAGTAGCCACCTGACTTCTCCATCCCGACCGGGGAGGATAACCCTGGGCAAAAGGATCTTCAGAATTAATGTGGCAAGACTCTGTTTTGCACAGTTAAAAAATCTCTGCCTAAATCCAAATTGCATCCTTTTTATGGAACGCTATAAATAAATGATTACCCCTTTGCCGTTTTATGTGAAGCCAGCATTTCTTTTGCTCCTCTCCTTCCTTTGTAGGCAGACAAGAGAGCAGGAAACGCCCCCTGACTTTTTTTATTTCTCCGACTACGAGCGACATAATGCTGAGATTGCGGCATTTCACCTGGACAGGTAAAGATGGGGTGGGGGGGAGGTAAAAAATGGGGCGGAAGAGGAACTGAATGCAGTGTTTGCACATCCTAATGGGGAGCAGTTGAGTCAGTTTTTCAGTCTTTCAGTCTTTTGCAACAGGGCATTGTGTAGGACAGGGTTCTTCAACCTCAGCAACTTTAAGATGGGTGGACTTCAACTCCCAGAATTCCCCAGCCAGCTGGGG